AATGACCTTTCTTTATTAGATTTAAACGAGAATTTGACTTTTAATAGGACACAATGGAGAAAAAGGATTCATGTAGTCGACCCCACGTAGTGGGATAAAGGCTTGATGTTGTTGTTGTTGTATAATTTTAAAATATTTTAATTTATTTTTTCTATTACTTAATATATCCATTAGGTGTTTCTAATATTCTCTTGCGACCAATTAATTCAATAAAAATCTCATGTTTTAAAATGGAGAAAAAGGATTCATGTAGTCGACCCCACGTAGTGGGATAAAGGCTTGATGTTGTTGTTGTTGTATAATTTTAAAATATTTTAATTTATTTTTTCTATTACTTAATATATCCATTAGGTGTTTCTAATATTCTCTTGCGACCAATTAATTCAATAAAAATCTCATGTTTTAAACATGGAGATAAAATAATAATAATAATTTTAGGCATACTGCTTTTCTGCCATAATACTTACGATGTGACACAGCACGAAGAACACCGCGAAAAAATCTGCCTGTCGCAATTGTTGCTTCATAAAGAAAATAAAATATGTGAATAACATAATTTGTCCTTAATTAGATATTTAGATTTACAGGAGATTACAGATGGATTCAAGTCAACATTACACCCAATGAGCAGGTTAATAAACAAGTTAATTAGCATTTGCAATATATACTTTTCAAACTCGTTTGAGGAGAAATTATTGAGTTCGTAGTCCAGACATAATTTGCATCTGAACTTCAATCTGAACAGTCCACACATCACACACTATGTATAATTTATACACTTGCTGAGTACAAATTATACACAGTGCATATACGACGTGCCTGATTCTGATAGTTCGCGCGTAACAATTTTTTCTCGTTTGAGACAACTTTCCTACTACTTTCTAAAATAGTTCTTCAGTACGAAATTTTTTTGAATTAAAAATTTGTATTAAGAAATTATTTTAAAAAGTGATAAAAAAAAGTTATCCAAAACGAAATCGAAGATAAAAACATAAATAAATTATGTAAAGCCACAATTAATGAGATGGAAGAAGCCGCATAGAGTTTTTTTTTCCCTCTTATTTTGGTGATGACAGCAGCATAATTTTTTTTTAAACTATGGGTTGATGGATGGTCAATTTAGGATATTTTTATGAATTTAATTTTGTTTTATTTGATCTCACTTATCTTTATTAAGTTGGTTGTTAAATTAGGAATTTTTTTTTTTTTCGATTGATGATTTAACTCGTTCTTATGATATTTAGGTTTCGTTTGAAATAGTTTTTTTTTTATAATTTTTTAAAATAGTTTTTTAGTATAATTTTTTTTTTGAACTATAAATTCTTATACTAAAAAATTATTTTAGAAAGCAACAAAAAAACTATCCCAAGCAGAATCTTAATTTTTGCTTAAGGGTTAGTAGAACAATCCCAAAAATATCTTAAACTCTTTATTTTTTAAGTCATATATTATGTCAGTAGTCTACTTTGGACTTCAATATGTTTTACATATTTTTATATTATTTTAAATAGTACTATATTATTTGAGCATTAATCAAAACCGAATGTCTTGTTCCTTAATTTCGAGAAATTTGTTGTGCGGACACTGTATAGTTCGGAGATCAACCATAACACACCATATCACTCAGTATCGAGTATCAATACAGTGCAAAAAAATAATGTGATGCGTTCTGATTAATCTCAGAACTACATCCCCTACCTTCATAGAACAATTTTTCCTTAATTCATCACCTCACTTGAGAAAAGTAAAAAAAAAACAAAGCTAATATTAAAAATGAAAGCTGGTTCTGTTTGGTAATAAATTTCAAGGAAAGGGTAATTTGGTCTTTTCTGAGACGTGCGCTTACGTGTCCAATTTTGATTATGGTTTCGGGTCCCATTTATCGTTGACTTGAGTGTACCGTTTCTTCGCACGTGCTAGAAGTCCCCGAAGAGGCGCTGCTGGTTTTGATTCTGGACAATAAAAAAACGGATTCGGATATTCTATAAAATAAAATTATATTTTCTATTCTTGTTTAAAAATTAAATTGAAAATAGAATTTAGTTAAATAAAATTTTATAATTTGATGAAAGAAAAAACCAGAAAAATATGAGCATAGTAAATTAACGGTAATACTTTATTTTCAAATAAAAATTATATCATAATATTTTGACATAAATTATATTAGAATAAATTTTGAAAAATATTAGATTTATTTTGAGATTAATATTATTATGTGCCAAAAAAAATTGAGTTAGTGGACTATACATTCTACGTCTCACTATTATACAAAAATTCAACACTCGTAAATAAAAAAGATAAGATCAAAGGTATTTATGTGGAAAACTTAGAAAGGAAAAAAAAATAGGGCAAATTTTTAAAGTAAGTATGATTAAAAATTTAATTATGTGATTAAGTATCGTAAAAAAAAATTTAAAACTAGGCAAAGTCGCC